ATTCCTGCGCGCGACTATTGCTGTGCCATAGCCGTTTTATTTAGCATTCGAGAGATGGGAAACTATTGATGTATACGACTCTTGCGTTATACCCTATTGGCCTGATCGAGGTGTTTAGAAATTGTTTCTCAATGTCTGAATAAATTTGCAATAGATGACACATTTTCCTGTAGAATAAATATTAGGGATCTAAGATTACTTTCGAAAATTAATTTTTAAAATATCCCATTAAAAAATTATTTAAAAAACTAGATAAAAAGATTATTATAATAATAAATTAGCGTTACACTCTTGTGTTTATTCTTGAACATTAGACGTTTTTCTTCTTCGCAAGATATTATAATTTAAAAAAAAACGATCATTGTTGTAATTTGCAACTATAGAGAAGATAGAATCAGATGACAACTCCATAAGAAACACGCAATATGTTATTTGAAACCAACCGTAACTAAAAGTAATAAAAAAAGACGGTACTTAAATTTAGATATCGCTTTCTAGTTCATTGAAGCGCGCGTGCTGTAACAATTTCGAATTTTCACGCCTAATACACCACGGTCACCTTTTTTCCCTGTCCAATAAAATTAATGAATATGGATAAATTCGATTTAATCAATTGCATTTTGCTATAAATGAGTGTCCGATTTTCTGCACAGGAACGCTAAACTATGAAAAAACACAATTACGCTTTTTCTGGAAAATTACACTAATATACGTATATCTACATTTTTATTTATAATTGAGATGATTATTTAAATATATCTTTCTTTACAGATATTTAGAAACTGTTGAACTTAATAACGAACTTTCCCTTATCATAACAGATGTATTAAAATTTTCATGTGTCTCATATTTTAAATAATGTAGAATAACAATATTTAAAATATTTTAACAAATAATATTTTAAATATAAAAAATATATATATAGAGAGAAGAGAGATATAACATTTTTTGCAATTAATTTTAAAATGTAAGGCACTTAAAGATTTATTGTATTCGTTATTTAAATTAGAATAATAATTAATTTCAAGGAGGAAAGTGGGGTTAATTACATAAGAAGACAATTTCGATGATTGTTGCAGGGAATTCAAAAGAAGCCTCTAACTCCAGAACCAACTCGATCTACGGTAATATCGATGAGTCCGAAGGTCCATTCCCCGAGTAGGAATACGCCGAGAAACGATGGATTTTACGCTGTCGAAGTTTCTACCAATTGCGAGATGAGCTTTAATGATACGAGATCATGCGACATAGTCGGTGGTCCAGAGACAAACATGCAGGAGATCTATCGATCTCCACCAGCTTCATTCGCACCCTGCAATCAAATCACGCCGCCTGCGAACGCGTTGAAAAGCAACGAACCACCCTTTCAAAATGTCAGCAACACGCCTAGTGTTTCGCGATTGCTGCCCGCCGTTAATGACAGCGTTATCACAAATACCGCCGGATACACGACGTCGATTCCGGTTCCGCAGACGCCGCAGAAACATGAATTGTCGCATCCGATCAGCAGACTCTGCGACACGATTGAGTCCAATGAGAAGAAGGAGTCTTCGAGGATGGAGATGGCGAACACGGAGAAGAATGAGGAGGAGAAGATTGCAGTTCTTGTTAATAGCGATAATAACAATAACAACGAGACGATCGTCAACACGATCGATGTGGCTCAGCGAGGACGATCGGTCGACGATCACAAATGCGATCAATGCGGAAAGACCTTCGTCACGAGAGCCTCACTCAAGGTATATTTTTTTATCAACAGAATTAGTTGGATCCTGCAAACCACTCAAATTTCACAAAAATTTAAAAATTTCACATTATTTGCATCGCTTCTACGAATATGGGGTTAATGTTAATTAAACTAATACGTCACCCTTTATAACTTTACACGCCTGATGTAAACAGGCGTTTTAATTATTCATTATTAAAAATTTATTATTAAAAAGTAAAATACGGATTTAAGACGTTTAATCTAATTTTTTCTCCTCGGCTTTATAGTTATAAATAATTACTCTGTAAAGTCAGATCACATCGTTGTGTCTGCGCTTATTACAAGATCATATAGGAGAGAAAGCAGATATTCAAAGTCGCGTTCGATTCTTTTCATTTTTCCATCCTAATTTCGGTCCCATATCCCTAAACAGCTTAGCTATACATCTCGTCCATGTGATCATATCCACGTGATCGTCACAGGTGCACAGCCGAACACACTCCGGCGAGAAGCCGTTCCGCTGCGCTGATTGCGGCAAACAGTTCTCGCAACTACGCAACTACAAGTATCATCGCAGCGTGCACGAGGGCACGCGGGAGTTCGCCGCGACTTGTCCGGAATGCGGCAAGTACTTCAACGATCGCGGTTACCTGAGCTCGCACATGAAGATCCATCGGAATCGCAAGGAGTACGGCTGCGCGGAATGCGGGAAGAGCTTCAACCAGCGTGTGGCCTACAACATGCACGTGCGCATACACACGGGCGTGAAGCCGCATCAGTGCGAGCAATGCGGCAAGGCGTTCTCGCGAAAGATGCTGCTCAAGCAACATCTCAGGACCCATTCCGGCGAGCGGCCGTACCAGTGCCAGGTCTGCCAGAAAGCGTTCGCCGATCGCTCCAACATGACCCTCCACACCAGGTTGCACTCCGGCCTGAAGCCCTACCAGTGCAATCTGTGCTCGAAGGCCTTCACCAAGAAGCACCACCTCAAGACTCACCTCAACTACCATACTGGCACTAAACCGTACTCCTGCTCCAACTGCGGCGGCAGATTCTCGCAGAGTAGCAACATGAGGACCCACTTCAAGAAGTGTATCGTCAACAACGCTGTCGGATTAATCAAATCCGGCGACGAAATCAGCGTCGATCGCCCCGATGCCGAGGGCAACGTGGCGCCGCAAATGGCCTTGACGCCGCCCAACTCTGATCAGGAGTCCAGCATCCTGACACCGATACAGGGCAACACGTAGCGGTGCTCTTTACTCCGAGAAAAAAGACAGATACCTGTATTTCGAAAGTGGATAATATTGACGAAGAATGAAGTTGAAAATGCTGTTGCAACCGCATCATTATGGGTAGATGTTCGAGGGAAGATGGTATACTTGGCAGACGTGTTTCTCGGTAGTAAATTGATTGGAAATAGACCGCGGGCTTTCACGCTTTACATTTGCGAGAGGTTAGTACACGTTCGTAAACATTTTCTAGGATACATCGAGTTGTCGATTATAGGACGTCTGTATTAAGAGACGCCACATAATTAGAAAAAGAAATTGCATTAAATTAATTTTAAAAAATGCGCAGTTTTGCGCATCTTTTTTTTCTCAATCTGATATTTGGTCAATTGAAGTAAGATCGCGCGAAATTGAAGTATCGGTATGGTATAACAATTATTGCACTGTGCCTTATTCAGTTCCTGTATTTATAATTAATCTCAATGTACATATAAAATTCCGTATGCTAACGTAATATAATATTTAACAATTTGGAATGAGATTTAATATTCGAGAGATCATGTTAAATTGAGCATCGATAAATTAATATTTTCATGAAAGGCTTACTTCTCGATTTGATAAAACTAATTTATTTGCTTTTATTGTATAAATTGCTGATTCTTGATCCCGAAGATTTATTTGACATTGTGACTTGAAATATTCGTATGTTCATTTTTTTGAAGTGGATATTTATAAAATCTCTATATAATCGGTGAAATATAAAGTTTATAAACCTTAAAATCTCAAGATTGTTGAGATTCCCATTCAATCTATAAATAATTTATAGAAAATATTTTATTCCGTTAAATTTTCAAATTAAAAATTAAGTGATATTTGATTATTAAGAGATTAGTAAGAGATGACAATAGAAGTAGCATTAAAGAAGAACAACACCAATTTGAACCACTCATTATTAACGTATCGGTTAGCGCAGCAGATATTGTAGATATTTCAACATCAAAATTTGGAAATCAAAATCTCTATCTTCTTAGCATTCGTTTAATTATTATGGCAATCTTGCTCTTATATCGGGAATGATTTTGAGGAATCGAGAAATAGATTGCTTCCTTATCGTTCGCATCGAACAATTAATAGCCCGTTCGCCGAAACTGCAACATGTGATTGCAACATGAGAAATCCAATTGTCGGTTGCAACACAAATGGCAACTGCAAATGCAATCGGAAAGTCTACCGCTTGTAAGAGAAGTATCTTTTCGTATTTGAAAGTAACCGTCAGAGAACCAGTGGTTCGAAGAACAACCAAACTTCCATATCAGCGTAAATAGTATACAACTTTTTTTTTAAGAAAGTATTCCTATAGCAACACTTAGGCCGGTATTCATAGCCCGTTTTTATATTTAAAATCATCTCAAGTACGGTCTTAAGATGCTATGCGGCCATTTCATTGGTTGAACGGGCTCTTAAGACGACCCAAGACCACATTTAAAACGATCTTAAATATAAGAATGGACTATGAATATCTTAAGGATCTGTTGCCAGAGTAACTTTATTAATGAGCGTGAAAAGTTCAGGAGATAAAAAAACTATTATATGGATTTTTTTCAATCATAAGATTCTTATCTAAAGATCGATTGAGATATTGAAAATTTGAGGAACCAAAAGAATCTCTGAATGGTAAGAAAAAGGCATGTGCGAGAAATTATAATAAATTTAAAAAATCGAATTTAGATAATAAATAAATAAATATATTTTCTAATCACTCTGCGATAAAATATGAAAATTGTGTATATCAAGTATATAATTAAAAAAAAAAATACATTTTGAAATTAAGTCAAATATACACGTTATTAAAAAAATTTATAAAATAATCGAATAAAATTTATATAAATCCTTAATTAAGGATAACGTGATAAATTCGGAAAAGTGTCTGAAACACCACACGCGTGCGCGTGAGATACCATGTATATTATTTGGTACATAATATATTTTATTAATAAACTCTTTGCATGTTAATAGAAAAATATTATTAATACATGTATATATCATTTTTTTGAAGTGGATATTTATAAAATCTCTATATAATCGGTGAAATATAAAGTTTATAAACCTTAAAATCTCAAGATTGTTGAGATTCCCATTCAATCTATAAATAATTTATAGAAAATATTTTATTCCGTTAAATTTTCAAATTAAAAATTAAGTGATATTTGATTATTAAGAGATTAGTAAGAGATGACAATAGAAGTAGCATTAAAGAAGAACAACACCAATTTGAACCACTCATTATTAACGTATCGGTTAGCGCAGCAGATATTGTAGATATTTCAACATCAAAATTTGGAAATCAAAATCTCTATCTTCTTAGCATTCGTTTAATTATTATGGCAATCTTGCTCTTATATCGGGAATGATTTTGAGGAATCGAGAAATAGATTGCTTCCTTATCGTTCGCATCGAACAATTAATAGCCCGTTCGCCGAAACTGCAACATGTGATTGCAACATGAGAAATCCAATTGTCGGTTGCAACACAAATGGCAACTGCAAATGCAATCGGAAAGTCTACCGCTTGTAAGAGAAGTATCTTTTCGTATTTGAAAGTAACCGTCAGAGAACCAGTGGTTCGAAGAACAACCAAACTTCCATATCAGCGTAAATAGTATACAACTTTTTTTTTAAGAAAGTATTCCTATAGCAACACTTAGGCCGGTATTCATAGCCCGTTTTTATATTTAAAATCATCTCAAGTACGGTCTTAAGATGCTATGCGGCCATTTCATTGGTTGAACGGGCTCTTAAGACGACCCAAGACCACATTTAAAACGATCTTAAATATAAGAATGGACTATGAATATCTTAAGGATCTGTTGCCAGAGTAACTTTATTAATGAGCGTGAAAAGTTCAGGAGATAAAAAAACTATTATATGGATTTTTTTCAATCATAAGATTCTTATCTAAAGATCGATTGAGATATTGAAAATTTGAGGAACCAAAAGAATCTCTGAATGGTAAGAAAAAGGCATGTGCGAGAAATTATAATAAATTTAAAAAATCGAATTTAGATAATAAATAAATAAATATATTTTCTAATCACTCTGCGATAAAATATGAAAATTGTGTATATCAAGTATATAATTAAAAAAAAAAATACATTTTGAAATTAAGTCAAATATACACGTTATTAAAAAAATTTATAAAATAATCGAATAAAATTTATATAAATCCTTAATTAAGGATACGTGATAAATTCGGAAAAGTGTCTGAAACACCGCACGCGTGCGCGTGAGATACCATGTATATTATTTGGTACATAATATATTTTATTAATAAACTCTTTGCATGTTAATAGAAAAATATTATTAATACATGTATATATATATATATATATATATATATATATAACATTATATAACCTTATAAATATATAACATTATAAACAGAATATATATATATATATTCTGTTTATAATGCGAAGTGCATTAAGTTAACGAATAATAAAATACAAATAAGCATTTATATTGTACAGCTATATTCAATTGTGGACAGATTAAATGATTTCTGTTCATAAAATATAATATAAAATAAAGACAATAAAAAAATGAAATACTCAGATATTTCCTAATTTATATGAAATCAGTGTGTTTCATTCGAAAAACAAGTCTCTCCTTTCCAAAAACAAACTATTAAAATGTAAGCGATATCCAAGATAAAAATAAAATATATTTTAAATAGTTTATTTCTCGAATAATAAATCCTCTCTCTCTCTTTTCCTCTTTGTGTTTAGAATAAAGCGCAATCGTGATGCACGTCTGAAATATAACGGTGCATCGTGGGCAGAATATGTGGACAATAAATCGCCGCTATGATGGCGTTTCTCTCTCAGAGCCGACCGGTAGAATTATCGTAAATCCCGCCACGCGACACAAATCGCTCGTTAATATTCAAATGAATTGCGAGTGTATGACTCTTTCGGAGATACATCATATTTTTGAAGAAAGCTATACGAGAGACGAGTTTTGCCATTAGCGTGTGTAATGCAATAAACCGTATTTATTTACATTCATACGAAATATTTATCTTCATTTTACGCTACCAGATATCAATTTGCAATTTCGTGACAACGTGGTTCTAGTCTTTTATGAGCTCGAATATGTAGTACCTATGACTTTTTGTACGAAAGATATTTTTTCATTTGTATTTAATTTAATTAATCTATTTAAAAATTTCGAGATTATATATAATATAATCTCGATAAAAATCTTGATATAAAATTTGTGCGCGAATGTGTATGAAAACATTAAAATTGCGGAGAATCCCGCCGTTTTGCGTTCTTACATTGTAAAATGCACAAAACAAACCTGGATTTGTAGAATGTTGGATTGTATCGTAGGTATGCGCATAATAATGGCAAATCGCTGGCACATGATGGTTTGTAGCATATCAGATTACGGATACGATTCGCAGAAACGTGGATGCTGCGAGCAGATGATGGCAAGATGCGAAATAATAGATCTACAGGATCGCATATAGCATATGCAAGGTCAAGTATGTGTCTGTGATCGATCTGTGAACGAGTCGAAGGATCGATCGATGAAAGAAAGAATCATATAAATAATAAAACTGTCTTTAATTTGTTAGAAATGTCTGTACATAAAAATAAAAAAATAAAAAAATATGAAAGGAAGTACATACAATGCAATACAAATTATTTTATAAAATTTATAATGATAACGTTGCTCGATTTTTTATTATAAAATTTATAGTCGTGAAAAAACATATCCATCACAGATCACAGACATATACTTAATTTAATATATCATAAATTAATTATATGTTTCGGACAAAAATTCGCAATCGTAAAATCTAATTCAGATTTAATTTTTTAAATGTCTCTATTCATAAGAATTTCTTAATTAGCTTGTCATTGAATTTCTTATTTTTGACTGAAGCTTGTTTAGCAAATGGCTGTGAATATAACTCTTACCAGTTATCGCGTAGAAATCGAACAATAGCTGCAGCAATTACGAATGCGTTCTCTGTCCATTCAACAATCCGTTTCTTATTTTTCATTCTCTTCCCCCTCTTCTTTCCCATCTCTCTTTTGCTATCACTATAGACTATAGACCATTATACCATCCGCCTTTCATTCACTTAATCTGATCGAGAGAAATGGCATCTTCAGAGAATATAGTCGTGAAGGAGATCTTGAGGGAGATCTTGCTTGCTTAGCAAAGACACGACGTACACGACAAAGCTTTTGAGGCATTATGTGCCTAGTCCTAAGTGGACTCTTAGCGTCGAGTCATCATCGACGCGTCGTTAATTAGGCTCATGGCTCATTAGACTTTTTATGATGTGCAAGCCTCAACTTGACAGACTGCTAATCTCAGGTCGAAAGTTGCCTTAACAGTTATGTAAAACCACTCGAGAAACGCATTTACCGACAATTTTCTCGGCACAGACAAATCCATAATTCCTTGCTCATCTCCTACAACTTCATGCATATTTCATATCAATATCTCGAAACTAAAGCTAAGAGCTTACAATCTTGTGATTTTACGTCTGATATTCGCGATTTTTCCGCTTATATACATGATTACATTTAAAGTGAGAAATATGAAGTAAACATTGACATACAAAGCATTATTTTATATATTTCTCTCTTTCACAGATTATATATATATTTTCCATATGATAGAAAGATGGAAAACATTATGGCAAAACAAGTTTTTGCAGTAATAAGCATAATGTATTCTATCTAAATCATCATTAAATTGTTGTTAAATTACTATATATTGCTAAAAATATTATGGAAAATACGACAGTAAGATGCACTCAATGTCTAAGGAGTACATTCAGCAAATATTTATTAATTTTATAAATTATCATAAAGATATCTCCAAGACGAAAGAACTCCTTTTATAAAGCTTCACGAAAGATATCTGGTGATCTGCGTATATAAGTAATTCCACGTGAGCTTTCTCTCGCTCGGAACTAATGGAAAATTAGAAGTTAGGTGATATACCGTTTGCTGTTTCCTGGAAATAATTGACCCTGTTCCAATTATATACATTTACGCGAAAGTACCAACAATGTTCGACGCATATCTTGTTCCGCAATGAGATGATAAAAATATATTCAATTTGAAATCGTTGCGATAAGAAGAAATTTTAATTATGTAAAAGAAGAGTGATTTAAAATAACCGCAACATATATATCTTACAGTGCCAGCATAACTTGAGTAAGATTGCCTTGGCGAAGTTAATCTAAATGATTATCTTGCGATATATTCACTACACGCAACATTGAAAGATACATTATAGAATCTTATAAAGAGAGATTTAAGGTAATATTTTTCGACAAGTTTATATTTACATAGATAAAAAATGGAGAATATTTAAAAAATTAAAAATTTTTCTAACAATACAAGTTGCGAAACTATAAAGTTGAAAGAATAAAAAACAGATATCTTCAATAAGAAATCTAAATCTTTATCTAAACTTAAATCTTTAATAGACTATTAAAGAAAGATATTCTAATCTTTTAAATATCTTTAGATATCTTCCTATTATAACTTTTATACTATTCGACTACAGAGCTTCAGAAAAATCATATATATTTTTTAATAATTATTAATTCATTTTAATATTTTCATATATTTATCCAGTTTTCCGCAAAATTCGTTCATAACTGAGACGCATAATTTAGCCGATTATTTTATTTCATTTATTTGTCAATAGCAAATTATTTCCGACCTCGTGTATCCATGACCTAC